GAGTTTCTCTCATCACTTTATTCTCATTTTCAGTACCGTTATCAGTAACCATTGCCAAAGGACAGCCATATCTAGGAAAGAATTCGTCAATTAATAAATGTGCAACATTTTGAGCAGACTTATCCGGAATTGCAAAGGCTTCTACCCAACCAGAATATATACATACAAAACTGGCTATATATTTATTACCTGACAGGCTTGTGGGATATGGACCTGAAAGATCCAAAGCAATCTTAGCCATTGGGTACGGTGGTATGCCTGTTTCTATTAAATCCGGTTTATTCTTACTTGTTGACCTTGATTGACATGTAACACATATTTCTATATATTTATAAAGTTGTTTATAAAGTCCCTTCCAGTAGTATTTGGTGCAAATCAGAGCGTAACACCTGTCTATACCACTATGTCCATTATCGTCATGGTATTGTCTAATTACCTTTTCCGTCAAATGCTTTGGGATATATAGTCTCAAATTAGGATCCCCGTCTTGATCAGATATATAATATAAAACATCATTGACTAACAAATACTTGTTATTGGTTGCCGGCTTTAACAATCCTTTTTGTAAATCAGTCTTAATCTTTTGTAAATCGTCATCTTTTGCCTGTTCTATTATCATATTTAAATCAACCTGATTGTCCTCAATGTCTATTGAACCGTCATCATCACCTTCTTTATAATCGGCAAACTCACTTAGGTCATGCTTGTTTGAGTTTATAACATTTATTTCAAACGAGTTATTATTAATCCGAGGCTCTATCTCTTCCTCGTCCTCAGTCATGTTATCAAAAGTTGCTTTAGGTACTCGCGACAATAGGTCAGCTACTGAATTACTCTTACCAGGAATGTATTCTATCTTGCAATTATATCCAGAAATCCCTAGTGCCCATAGCTGAATTTGTTTGTTTTGAATAGGTGATTCTAATAAATACTTTAAAGGTTGATTATCTGTTCTGATTATGAATTCAGCATTATGTAAATAATAATCTAATTTCTGTAAACTATAGTGAATGGCATAGCATTCTTTCAATACTGTAGAATATTTAGTTTGTGTAGAATTTAATTTATGACTCAAAAAGTAAATTGGAGTTTCGACTCCGTCTATGACTTGGGCTAAACATGCACCAATGCAAGTATCGCTTGCATCAGTATAAAGAACGTATGGTAAATTTGAATTAGGATAACCTAAAAAGGGTATCGTGGTGAGACTATCTTTTAAGAAGTCGAAAGCTTGTTGACATTCATCTGTCCAATTGAACCTTGCGAATTTCTTTGTTAAATGAATCAATGGTTCCGCAATTTTACTGAAATTTGGAATTAAGCGTCTGTAATAACTCATTCCTCCTATAAACGACCTCGTTTCTGTCACTGTCGTTGGAGGCGTCATAGCTTTTAATGCCCTGACTTTATCTGGGTCAGCAGAAACTCCATTAGGTGTAATAGTAAAACCTAAATATTTTGTTTCGTTTTGCACGAACGAACATTTACTTGCCTTAAGTTTTAAATTATGCAGTCTTAATCTATCAAAGACGAGTTGCAAGTGCTTAAAATGGTCTTCCTTAGTCTTGGAGAATATCAAGATATCATCTAGGTATGCAACGGCAAAATCACTTAAACCCTCAAGGACACGTCCAACTAGTTGCATGAAAACTCCTGGTGCATTTACTAAACCGAAGGGCATGACATTAAAATGGAACAAACCTCTATGGCATACAAATGCCGTCTTTTCTTTGTCATCTGCATGCATCTGCACCTGCCAGTATCCAGCTCGAAGGTCAATGAGGCTGTAGTAGGAAGTTGCATTTAGTTGCGCTAATAGGTCATCAATTAATGGGAGAGGGTAGGAGTTAATTTTAGTGATTTTGTTCAATGCGCGGAAGTCAACACAAAACCTTTTGGATCCATCTTTTTTATCTACGACCACAATAGGGAAACTAAAAGGTGATGTGGAATGTGCAATTATCCCCGCACCTAACATGTCATCAATAGCTTTATCCACTATCTTCCTTTTATTAAGTGGAGTCCTATATGGTCTTAACTTTATAGGTGAGTGATCACCTATGTCGATTTTCATTTTCACAGTGTCTGTTTGACCTAGTTCCATGTCATTTGCTGCAAAAATATCCCTATAGTTATTTAATATGTTAGTCACACGTGACTTGTGCACGTTAGGCACGTTAATATCTTTAAAACAGTCATCGTCATAATCAACATGACACACCTCGCCTAAATCTTTAGAAGGAGCCAGTTCGTGTACGTCATCATGTTCGACAGGTTCCACTTGACCTACCAAACAACCTCTTTTCAACTTTAAAGTTTGGTTAGTATTATTAACCAAGGTAATGGGCATACGACCATTATTTCGTTCCACCTGAACAAGAGAAATTAAAGCGTTAGCTACCATGACTCCTGGTTGCCTGCTGAGAAAGCCAGTATTAGTACCTTGCGCTTGCAGCATGGGGCCACCAGAGTTGAGGTGTTTGACTCTAGCTACGCTCAAACAACTGCTCTGAGGACACAAAATAACATTTTCCGTCAACCGTAAAAGAGACGAAATATGAACATCCTGTTGAAGAGGAACATACGTTCCATAAATCCTCAAGCACTTCAAATCAAAATATATCCTAACATTTTTTTCTGCCAAAAAATCTCTACCAAGTATCAAATTTCTATTCATAGAAGAGACAACGAAAAATTTATGTTTAACATCCTTATTTCCAATTTTGAATTCAAATTCGGCACTGCCGTTAATTATCAATGCCTGTCCACTTACTGATCTTAATATGACATTTTCGATTCCTGAGTTTCGGCCTATATTTTAAATTATCATAAACACGTCGGTGCATTAAAGACACTTCTGCACCGGTGTCAATTAGTGTTCTAAAATATTGTTTTCCTAATTTGATAAAACAGGTGCTCGGACTACCTGCCATGTTTATTGAAAAAGTCTTTTTATTTTTATTAGTCATAGATTTAGAACTCTCCCCGATAGCCGAACCTCGAGGAGAGGATATTAGTTTTCCGAAAATCGAACCTTACAGTCAGCTTGTCTGTGACCAAGTTTGCCACAACGCCAACATTTAATTTGATTACTCTTACGATAACCTTCTGTATTATTATTTCTATGGTAACTATCTGTATTATTATTTCTAGGGTAACTTTCCGTACTATTAACTTGCCTATTTCTACTTGTGTGCCTTTGACTGCGACACTCATTTGCATAATGACCGTGTTTGAAACAAATTTTGCATCGTTTAGGACGGACATGGTCAATTTCCATTGGTTCATCGTCATAATTTGGATTTGCGCGAGGAACCTCATGGCCTGTCCTAAGAGCAAATCTTTTTCGCAAATTTTGTTCTTTCATGGCCGTTGTTACGGCAGTTTGTAATGTTGTGGGGTTATCCCGTATTATTTTAAATTTAAGATAATTTTCCTTTAACCCGTCTATGAAAAACCCTACCAATTGCCTCTCGATTTCTTAACTGGCCTCACCAGTGTATGCCTCACTAGCGAGGACCAAGAGACGTTCCCCGAAACATTGGACGTTTTCTCCATGATTTTGTCTACATTTTCTCAAGAGCGCAAAAGCATGCTGAGGGTCGGTTACCTCAGCAAACCGAGCCGAAAGTTCATTTTTAAGTTCCGGCCATGTTGCATCTCCATGCAAGTCCATATAACGCCTTATAAAATTAGACACTACACCCTTGCTCGTTTGGTAAGCAATCAAGTTCATTCTGTCAGCCGAAACAGATGCCAAAATTGAATATTTTTCAATGGAACGAGTCCATTCCCTAAATTTCTTAGGCTCGCCATCGAATGCTTCGATGATAGTAGCAACACCGTTTGTTGAAATGGAATTTGTCAATTGACCAATTTGGTTTGACAACGACTGAAAAAATGTGGCCCCGGCTTCGGTATCCATGCTTTCGAATCAACTCCTAAGAAAGAAAAAATAAAGTGAACTTACTGATTGGAAAATCCTCCTCGTTGTTTTCCTCTTCTTAATGAATCCTGTTTTCCTCTTCTAACTTGATCCCGTTCAAGAATCCTGGTCACGGCACCAGAAAAGCGTATATTACAAAGTAGTATGCTTTTTGCTGTGATCGTCTGTATTCTATTCCGTGACTAATAGATTCAAAGTACTTTCGATGGTTATAATAATTTATTTACTTCACGTTGTGTATTAAAATTCACAAGGAAACATAAGAGATACGAGGTGAGTTAGCAGCCAATATATTATGGTCCAAAGTCAAGGTGAAAATTAAACTAGTAGATTCCAAAATAGCTAGTTTTGTCTGAGAGCCACAGTTTCCAAGTGAACACTGCTCTCTAAGGACCAGTCAAGGTATATTTATATTATTGGCTGCAAACGTCATGTCGATAGGTGTGATATCCAAATATATTAATATAGATACTTAAATTTGAAACCTTTCATATTTTCAATGTCCTGCTGTGTTTAAGCCGACACTAAAAATATGAACTATTATATATACTAGTAATATATGTGGTCCACTAAATTCCAAGTATGGTTTATTAACTTTTGATCCTTTTTATGACCACACCAAAAATATTAGGGACCACAACAAAATACTAGGTTAATAAGTGGGCGAAGCACGGGCTGATCCTGTAGAGGGGTATTTTGTTACACATCGTTTTGTTTCATCCCTATCTAAAATTGCATACTTTGTTCTATCATTCTATCAATTAATCCAAATCTATTCTAAATTTGTAAACAAAATCCTATTTAGAACAAAACAAAAATAAAATCTATGAAATCTATGACTTCTATGGATCAAAATAATGACCGGCGAAATAACGCGTAGAAGGTCATCATTGATCTGTTCATTTGCAACACACGATAGTCTCGTTTATGTGTTCTTAATGAAAAATATCAAGAATATTTTTAAGTGGTATAATGCGTTCGATTAAAAGTAGTTGATTGTAATGGTAATCTGAGAAGGGCCCTTTCCCATCAAACCCAATCAACACTTAGTCATCTAGGCAACCACCATATCATTTGATGAGGCATCATCTGGATTGCCAGCATCATCATCATTGGCGCTGTCATTTTCTACTCTAATTCGTTGCGCCATTTCCATGAGTGGTATGTCATCTTCACTCGACGAGTTTCCTCGTACCCTATGGTATTTCTTAATTAGTTCACTAAGAGGCAATTCGTCATCTTCTGAATACTCAGAATCGGAACCTTCTGAACTAGATTCTGAAGGAGGTTCAACATATTGGGCTTTTCTTAATTTATTTGTGTCTTTAGGTATGTCCCATTCATCAATATTAGCTAATCTTAAGTGCTCAGCATGAGCCTTTATCACTCTGTTAGTGAGTTGATTCCTAATTTTGAATGAGACTGGTGAGGTTTGTTCAACTATTCGATGGTATGGTGACCATCTGTCTTCTAGTTTATTTTTACGTAAGAAATTCTTATAGTATACTGGGTCACCTGTCTTAAAATCAATATTTTTAGTATTCTTGTTAGCGTATTTGGCTTGTCGTTGCTTAGCTTTTTTCATGTATTTATGTACTTGGAGGAATGGCCGGTATTGATTCTCCAATGCCACCTGATGGAAATCACCTTCACCCATGAACTTACGTCTCGGCTTAAGAATATTATCAAGCGGTAACACCGGATCTCTAGAATACAACATGGTAAATGGAGATCGTTTAGTGCTAGTGTTGACATTGAATCGTAAAGCAGCAAGACTTTGGTTGAGGTGTACATCCCAAGTGGTAACATCCGTTGTTAGACGTTTAGACAGAATATCATGTAACGTTCGATGACTTCGCTCGACATCACTGTTACTTTGTGGTCTATAATAAGAAGTAAGAATATGTTTAATGTTTAAACTTTGGAAAGTTTCTTTCATAACCCTATTCTCATTCTCGGTACCATTATCAGTAACCATAGCTAAAGGACAACCAAATCTGGGAAAGAATTCATCAATTAACAAATGAGCAACATTTTGTGCAGATTTATCAGGAATGGGGAATGCCTCTATCCAGCCAGAGTATATGCAGACAAAACTGGCAATATATTTGTTTCCAGACAAACTTGTCGGATATGGACCAGATAAATCAAAAGATACCTTTGCCATAGGATAAGGAGGTATTCCTATCTCAACTAAATCGGGTTTGTTCTTAACAGTTGACCTTGCTTGACATAAAATACATTGTCCTATATATTTATAGAGTTGTTTATAAAGACCTGGCCAGTAATATTTTGTCTTTACTAGTGCGTAACATCTATCTACGCCACTATGACCATTATCGTCGTGATATTGTTTGATGACCTTTTCTGTCAAGTGTGTCGGAATATAAAGTCGTAAATTAGGTTCACCATCCGGATCGGAAATATAATATACAATATCGTCTACCAGTAAATATCTATTATTTATTGTGGATTTCACTGTCCCCCTTTGTAAATCAGTTTTGAGCTTTTGTAATTGATCATCCTTCATTTGTTCGGCTATCATATCTAAATCTAACTGAAAGTCCTCATTGTCAGATGTATCGTCATGGTTATTAAGTTCACAGTCAGCATATTTACTAGTCTCAATCTGATTTGAATTTATAGCGTTTATCTCAAGTGAGTTATTATTTATACGGGGCTCAATTTCGTCATCATCTTCATTTAAATTGTTAAAAGTTGCTTTTGGAACTCGCGATAAAAGATCAGCCATTGAATTTTTCTTACCCGGTATATATTCTATCTTACAATTATAGCCTGAAATTCCTAATGCCCATAATTGAATTTGCTTATTCTGAATGGGTGACTCTAATAAATATTTTAATGGTTGATGGTCTGTCCTAATTATGAATTCTGCATTATGCAAATAATAGTCGAGTTTTTGCAAACTGTAATGAATTGCAAACCATTCTTTTAGTACTGTCGAATATTTGACTTGTGTAGAATTCAATCTATGACTCAAAAAGTAAAAAGGTGTTTCGACACCTTCAATAACTTGTGCTAAATATGCACCAATGCAAGTATCGCTTGCATCAGTGATACACCCTGTGGTGATATGGTGAAACCTAAGTACTTAGTTTCCCTTGTCATAAAAGAACATTTACTGGCTTTTAACTTTAAATTGTGTTGTCTTAACCTATCAAATACTTGTTGCAAATGTTTTAGATGTTCTTCTTTTGTTCTAGAAAATATCAAAATGTCATCAAGATATGCTACAGCAAATTCGCTTAAACCTTGTAAGACTTGACCAACCAATTGCATAAAAACACCTGGTGCATTTACTAAACCGAACGGCATCACATTGAAATGAAACAGATCTCTATGACATACAAATGCAGTTTTCTCCTTGTCATCTGCATGCATCTGCAGCTGCCAGTAACCTGCACGGAGATCAATTAGACTATAGTAGGAAGTTGCATTCAATTGTGCCAATAAATCATCAATCAAAGGAAGTGGATATGAGTTGATTTTGGTGATTTTATTGAGGGCACGATAGTCTACACAAAATCTCTTGGAACCATCTTTTTTATCCACAACTACGATTGGAAAACTAAAGGGACTCGTAGAAGGTGCAATTATATCTGCACCTAGCATGTCATCAATAGCTTTGTCAACAATCTTTGTCCTAATTCCATATCATTTGTAGCAAATATGTCTCTATAATTAGTCAATATATCTATAACCTTTGACCTATGTATGTCTGGGACATCTATATCTTTAAAACAGTCGTCATTGTTAGTATACACTTTTGACACATTATTATTGCCAATAGAAACCTCTGAGATATTTTTAGTGGGTGGAGTTAAATCATGTACCTCATCATGTTCAACAGGCTCCACCTTTCCTACTAAACAACCCTTGTTTAACCTTATAGTTTGGTTAGTATTGTTAACCAATGAAATGGGCAAACGTCCATTATTTTGTTCCACGTGGATTCCCGCAATTAATGCATTAGCAACCATTACACCTGGTTGTTTGCTAAGGTATCCAGAATCCATACCTTGTACCTGCAGCATAGGTGCAGTCAGGCTATGGTTCTTAATTCTCGCCATGCCTAAACAACTACTTTGAGGATTAAGTACAACACTTTCAGTCAATCTTACGAGCGACGAAATATGAACATCCTGCTGAAGGGGAACATACGTTCCATATATCCTCAGACATTTCAAATCAAAATAAATGCGTACATTTTTCTCGGATAGAAAATCTCTACCCAAAATCAAATTCCTATTCATCGAAGTTACTACGAAGAATTTATGTTTTATATCTTTGTTACCAATTTTAAATTCAAAAACAGCACTGCCACTAATTGTCAATGCTTGTCCACTAACCGATCGGAGAGTGACATTTTCCCTTCTAAGTTTCGGCTTATACTTAAGACTATTATATATGCGACGGTGCATAAATGATACCTCTGCTCCGGTATCGATTAAAGATCTATAATTTTGTTTCTCCAATCTCATAATACAAGTACTTGGATTTCCTGCCAAATTTATAAAAATATCTTTTTTTTTTTAATTGAAGTTTTTCTAAAATATTTTGTTTTCTTTGTCCTAAATGATCTCTCCCCGACAGCCGAATTTCGAGGAGAGGGTATTAGTTTTCCGAGGAAAGCCGAACTTTACAATCGGCCTGTCTGTGCCCAAGTTTACCACATCGCCAACATTTAAAAGGAGGTCGTGATTGTGGACGATGGGCTTCAGCACTGTTTATTTCCCTATGTCTCATTGGTCGCCGATTACGACACTCTCTTGAGCTATGACCATGCCGATAGCATATCGTACATTTCTTGGGTCTTACATGATCGACTTCCATGTCTTCTATTTGGTCAAAATTTTGGGAAGACCGACTATATTCCGAATTTCTTCTTAAGGCAAATCTTTTTCGTAAATTTTGTTCAGTCATCGCCCTAGTTACCGCATCTTGTAATGTGGTAGGGTTTTCCCGTATTATTTTCATTTTAAGGTAATTTTCTTTTAACCCGTCAATAAAGAAACCTACAAGTTGCCTTTCGACTTCCAGACTTGACACTGAGTATGCCTCGCTAGCCAAAACCAATAGTCTTACCCCAAAACATTGTACATTTTCACCCGTGTTTTGCTTACATTTTCGAAGAAGAGCTAACGCATATTGTAGGTCTGTCACCTTAGCGAAGCGTGCCGACAATTCATTCTTAAGCTCCCCCCACGTTGCCTCTCCATTAGCGTCTAGGTAACGCCTTATGAAATTTGAAACGACACCCTTACTCGTCTGGTATGCAATTAGTTTCATTCGGTCGCCCGTAATTGAAGCCAATATTGAGTACTTTTCAATAGAGCGGGTCCATTCTCTGAATTTCTTAGGGTCGCCATCGAAGGGTTCGATGATTGTAGCGACACCGTTGGTGGAAATGGAATTAGTCAATCGACTAATTTGATTTGACATAGTCTGAAAGAATGCAGTCTCGTTTTCACCTTCCATTGTTTCGATTACTCACAAAAATGAACAAAAAGGAACTTATTGTTTTAGAGAATCCTCCTATTCGTTGTGCTATACGTTTCCTCTTGAACGTTTCCTCTTCTTTAACTTGTAACCCGTTCAGAATCCTGGTCACGGCACCATAAAAGCTGGGTATGTAACAAAGCTCTTGTTACGTACAGGCCTTTTTCTCCGTGTTGTTAAATCAAAACGTCTAGTGGTTTTTAAATATATTAATAAAGTTCTTCACGTTGTGTATTTTTACAGTATAAGTATCAGCATCAAAACAGTTGAGGTAGAGGCAGTAGCAAATGAATTATATCAAGATCTTTTAAGAACTAGGAGAGTATCAAATGTCTAGTTCTGGCTGAGTTCCACAGTTTCCAAGTGAATACTAATCCTTCTAATTTGTTAATGTATATTTATATCATTTGCTGCATACCTCATATTGATAGGTGTGACATCCCCCGAAATAATTTAAGGAGATACTTAAAAATTAAACCTTTTATCTTTTCAATGTCCGTCAATATAATTATGATGTATTATATATTTCGATCATTTCTATGACCATACTAAAACAATAAAGGACAATAACAAAATACCAGGTTAATAGCCCATGGCGGACCTTGGACTGATCCTGTAGAAGTGTATTTTGTTACATAAGACATGTGCTTTTTTCTGTCGACTATGAATGCAAATGAAAGATGATGGACTAAAAACTGTTCTCATTGGCCGGATTACTAACTTCCTGGTCTGATCACAGTTATATTATCCACGTTAGGCAATAACGTGACTATTCTGAACCGAAAAATATTGACAACTATTAGAGCTATTCAGAACACTACGATCTCGTTTTACTTTCAAAGGTATTATTACGTTTTCGTCCTTTGTACTATTAGTAAGAGCAACCCATTATAAATTGTTTAGAGCTTTTATTTTCGTTTTCTTCGACTTACATTCGATCTCGAAGGTTGTAGCATTAGCTGGTAATGGATCCGGTTAACTCACAAATAAAAGTTTTTTCTCTTACGGTGTTTGCCACGCAATCCGTTGACATTTTTCTATCTCCTTTTCCAGTTTGGAAAGAGGAATGAAGAAAAAAACGCCCGTCAGGTATTCACACTTCAATAAATATCTCTTCACCTCTTCCATTAGAAATGCAAAACTTCATACAAATACTAATTATGATTTCAAGATCCTGACGATGCTTTAGCATCACATCACAATGTTTAAGTGCAAGTGTTAAATTTCAAAAGAATATTTCATGTTCACCAGACATGTTCTGGGATGAAATAAGAGAAAATAAGCCAATCCATTCCATTGTTGATTTTAAAGTTTAATTTTTTGAATGTCACATTTTGGTGTTACTTTGTTTTATCATTGTTTATTATCACCACCTGAGGTATTCGTCCTTTATATTGCTTTTATCAATAATTTGTATACGACCACATGGACATATTTGTCGACTCGTTACATCCGATCTTGATGAAAATTGGTATGAATGTATATAATGATGGGATCGCAGTCGAGTTCGTAATTAGTAATAATCGGATGAACAGTGTCAGAGTTGTTGCCTTTGTCTCGTCAAATTTGGCTAGTAGGCACGATAAAGACTACAGTTTTTATCTGATCTTGATGAAACTTAATATGCATATATATATATTACTGAGATCTCATTGAAGTTCGAAATTGGTAACAATCGAATGAAAAGTTTCGGAGTTCAGGTTATATATTTAATTCCATGTGGGCGTATAAAATTAAATTTGTCTGCATAATTGGTCTATCTGGAATTTCGATTTTTTGCTACGATTCAGTACCCAGGGACTTCGAGTACCGTCATAATGATATCTTGTAATTTTAGTTTGTAAAGTGCTTCAATAATTCATTGGTACCTTACACCTGGTGGTACTTTTCTGGATGAGTCCACTTTTATACAATTTATCTTGAATTTGCCATACTTTGAACGAGATTTTGATTCACTGAATTGTTTTGCTTGTACTTAGTTTTATTGCACAGATGATATGATTATAATTTATGTTGGTTTGTTGTAGCTTGTGCTTAAGGTGGGTGTCCGCAATCATCTGTGCAGAAAACCTCCCTCCCCTCTTTCTTAACAATTAAGATGTGTTGCTACTTTTGTCCAAATTTTAACCAGCAATTTTTTCAACTTTTCAACAACAATCTGGTATAATCAAGATCTTTTAGATATTTCAGAAATATCAATTTTCAAAATTATTAATTTCATATATATTTAAAAATTATAATGGCCCGTCACACCGAAAATGCCTCTTTACTGAGATGCAGCAGAGACGGAAAATTAACCAAGATCGGGTAAAGGTCGCCATAAGCGTAGTATTAGCACGTCAGATATTGGTTGGCTGTATTTTCGCCAATAATCGCTGTTGGGATCGCCACGGAATCTAGAATGTCTTTAGGCAAACGTCTTGGACGCTATAGTGCATCAAACCTATAGATTTTATTAGAACGCAATATGGTTCCATATGTAACTTTTCAATTGTATGGGACTATATTTCGCATTTTCCGCCGTAAGATCGGAAACGGTCACCGCCCGGTGTGACTGGGCTACTATTGTATTAAATGAGCTTTCGTGCTTTTGAAGTATATAATTCCCAAGCGACAAGCAATTGTTTTTGTTCTACATCCACATAGTATCAAATATTCAATGTTTTCATTACCTCAATCTCAGATTATTGTGAAGTACTTTCAATTCTTGTTGAATTATGAATTCAGGGAAAGGAGTAAAATAATATAAATTCAGACACATCGCTTTCACATATGATTCCGTTATTGACACAATGGGTGTGGAAAGTGTATTTTTACAATGGTCTTGAGGATTTATGATATGATGATTTCTCTAATACAATTTTTACGGGACAAGTGTTCGCAAGAAATGAGCATTTGCATTTGACGAGTACCATCTCAATGTCATGCTCACTAAGTCCAGAATAAAATATTACACTTTTAACTTTCGATTTTCATGAAAAAAATCTCGGGTTTGAAAGGACAAAAAATGCTCCAATTACTCAAGAAAGTCGCTTTTATTTTGTTCATTTCTGAAAGTTTTGAAATATCCTCAAAGATCTTTACTCAATATTCAAAAGATGAACTTTTATCCGGATATTATAGTCAAGGGGAGTTTATAGGTCGAACGGGGTGTGTATATTCCTGCTTTGTTGATGATCTGTGCTTTGGTGTGGCGTATCATAAATCGCGACGAAAATGTTACTATTATGATACATTCCCAAGTTGTATTGATACACCTGCTGTAGATGTTGGCATGGAAACTATTTTAATCAAAGGTAAACCTTTTTACTTTTATTGTAGGGAAATATTACGTTGAGATATGAACAACTGACACATTTTCCCTCGAGAATCAATTGATAATCATGCAATTGAGGGTAAAATGAATCTTGATGTGATGTTGACACTCTGTGGAGTCTTGTCTCACAGTGAGTGCAGTCACACGAAGAAAACAATCGTTGGCATGACAAAAATCACCGACAAATATCAAACTGGTTTGATTTCAAAATCCTACGCAATGCGTTAAACATATTTCTGTGCCCTTACCATTAGATCACAAGACTAGCAACAATGAAACTTGAGCAGTAATTGCCCTATCCCATTTTAATGTGAAGTTAACTAACGCGACAACGTTTTGATTGAAAGAGATCGCATCATTTAAAGCTCCATATACTAGCTTCTGGATTTTTCAGGTTCCTTCATACAAAGCATTGCTTTGAAAAAGCCTGTTAATATGAGCAGTGTTTCAAATATAGAGGGAGCATGTAACGGTGTTGACGGTTCACTCAATAGTTTCATCCTAATACAGAGTGAAGAACAAGTAGATTGGTGGTGTGTTGACCTGGGGAAAATATATATCTACCAGTCGATTGTTATATACAGCAATGGCAATAGTGAGATATATAGTAAGTATCTATATCTAGTATCTTATTATAATTTAAAAAATTAGAATGTTTGCGTCCTACTTTTCTGCATCTTATGATGATGATGATGAATGAAGACGGGTGACGCCAGACAATATGCTAAGAGGGAAAATTTGCTAGGACGGCGGCATTAGCCTTTGCTCTTTTTGTCCCATCCGAACGACTAGACGCCTTTTCGATGTCAGTCCTTCCGACCTGCATCACTGACCTATGTCGGAAGTGAACGTCTAACGAAATTTCGTGAGAGTGTTTGTAATCACCTATGGAAGAACCCTATCAAAAATAACAAACAATGGAAAATGTTTTATATGAATTATTGATCTCTTTCTTGAAGGAACTTTCAATATTTAGCTCGTAAACATCACAAGGCATATTCTTGTCAGATTTTGACAAATATTGTTCAGCTTGACCACAACAATTTCAAAAGAAGTGTATGACTGAAAATATTTCATACTGGTCATTGTTACTGTACTGCCAAATCTTTATATTCAAAATCAAAGCTGCTAGTGAGCGTTTACTACATTTTCTACATTTTAGAGCCGTAAATGTTTCATATGAATTATCAAATTTGATGGTCTCTTTAAACGTTAAAGCTTTGAGATCCCAGCACTACCGTGATATTGTTTTTTTTGTTACATATTCCAGCACTACGGTGCTGGATCTTTACATCAATTATTTGCGCAACCTTCTCTTTATGAGATAATGCAAGCCGGTCTTTATTTTAAATTTTAAATAGATTAGACATTGTTTGTTTTAAATATTTTGTTTGTTTTTAATACCACCATGTGGTGTATTACCTGTTATATTGTTTTTAGTGTTTTTTTTTGTAGTCATTAAATGACTGTTTCTGTGATATGGTTTTTATCGTTTTTTTTTTTTTTTGTTTTTTTGTTTTGTCACTATGTGACCTTTGTGTGATATTGATCGGTGTTTTATTGTTTTAGTTGTTTTCATTATTTTAACGTATTCTGCTTCTTAAGGCATAGATTTCATTTCTTTAAATGTTATGCTGTTAAACAAATCATCCATGTACATATTTCAGGCATGAATCAAATAAGTGGTTTCGAGTTACGTTTGGGCAACTATGGACAATGTTCTGTAGTATCGTATCATGGAACCACGCTATGTTATGAAGATATTGAACCAATTGGTCTTGCCTTGTACAACATAACATCGTGTAACCATCCAGGCGTCACTTTCTCTTCAAGGTTTATATTCATCAGTCCAAGATCCTACGTCGTCTTGGAGGAGTTGGTGGTATTTGGTCGCATTGTCTAAATATGGGTTTTTGCATTTGTACGAGTACAATCAAGCAACCGAATTGATTGTTTCTGAATGCATTCTAAATTTGAGAAGAAATTCAAGTTAAAACTAATTTAAATTAATTCATTATATTTTAGAAAAATGCTGTTGCTGGAGATCATAAATTGAATACAAAAATACTCGAGTAGCATTCAAATTTGTCCTATATCCATTTCTCCGAGATATTGAATTCTGCCTTCATCTACTATTAATGCGTTCTGAACTCTGTTCCATCTGGTTTTATTGAATGTCTGGTTGATTCCATGAATCGCTAACGTTCAGCACTTGCCAATCGAGTGGCGCACATTCTTGGTTCTCTTTTAATAACCTAACTGCCTTGATATATCTCTTTCTGGCATTGTAACTTATTTCCGTTATTAATTAGTCAAATTAACTTTCATTAAGCGTACTCACTAATTCATGAAAAGGCCAAAGAACGTGAAACGACCAATAATCGAGCAGAAAAACAACCAGGAAACGACACTCAAACTATTTAGAGATTAATTTAAGCAAGCTAATTAGGCCAAACAAGTAATTAATTTTTAAGAAATATCCATTTTAAATAAGTGCTCATTTCACGTTTTCTTTAGTGGTTTCCTGGACGGTTCATGTTTTAGTAACTACGTTCAACATACCAAAATTTCAAAACTTTTTATTCAAAGTACCTAGGCTAGATAGGAAATATATATTATATTTTTAAATACAATTCTAATTCCAATGCTAGAAATAAGTTGTTATATATTTATGTTATTAATAAAAATATTGCTAGCTTTATATTTTTATTTTATTCTGAATAAATAAAGCAAATACTAACGATCAGAACCGCAAAACGAAACCCGAAATCCTAACAACCTATTGGTGAAACATTAGTAGCAGCTAATGAACGTTGAGGAAGTATGTCAATCACAGGTGGACATGAAATAGAAATGAAATGCATTTAGGAGCATCAGCACCAAACGGGCTATATAACTCCAGAATACGGTGTAAATATCATGTCATAAAAGCAAAACTAAAACAGTAAACAATATATAACAAAAAACAATCACAGAACAAAACAAGACGAGAAAACCTTATCACAGGAAAAGTCATTTAATGACTACAAAAAAAACACTAAAAACAATATGACAGGTAATATGCCACATGGTGGTATTAAAAACAAACAAAATATGTAAAACAAACAATGACTAATCTATTTAAAATTTAAAATAAAGACCTGCTTGTTTTAAAAAAAGGCACAACCTAGAGAAGGTTGCGCAAATAATTGTAAAGATCCATCACGGTAGTGCTGGGATCTCAAAGGTTTGAGATACTTGCACTCAATCAGAATGTGTTTCACTGTCAGGCAATCACAGGTGGATAAGTATGTCATAATGAAAAGTGGTGTGGTATCAAATGTCTAGAAGAGTAAGAATATCGTGAATCCATTTATTTTAATATACTGCCAAAAAGCAGTAAGTTAACCCTAGCGATTAGGTGCCGTCGGTTCAAATCCTCCTTCAGGTAAGATAAAGTCTGTCCAGTGTCGGTTTTCACCCCTTAATACCTAACTTAATATATTGCAAAGTATTCGACATTTTTTCTATGACTTTGTTGTATCGGTCTACTGATTTGTTTTGCTTTCACCTCTTGTGCATTTCTTGTGCAATTTCGCCAGACTACATATGCTTACTCTTTAGACACCCGATATCACTTTTAAGGGAGAAATTGATATACTTCCTCAAGTAAAAAGTTCATTAGCTGCTGACAATGTATTGTCTATACAAAAAGTGCATTCTGAGAAAGCTTATTTACCATGAGAGTCAGCATCAGTATCCCCAATTCCAATCGCCCACTATGCTATGTCACTCCTTAACTTTTCTTTTGTTCATCAGCCTCTTTTGCCAGACAAAAGGTACTCTTTAACTCTCTTGTACCTTTTGCTCCCCAGTCCCCCTTATCTGCATCATACACGTTTCTTGTCTGCCTTTATTGTTCCCTCGTCAAAATCATCAATGACATCTTCAAGGGCGGTGCAACCCTTATTATACCCCCCGATGACAATGGCAGCTGCAGTCTTTACCGATTTCAGAGATGCGAACCGAGTCTTTGGACTTCATATGCATCAGTTCAAAGACTTGCATGGATTCTGTATCTTGTCTGGCGACACCAGCTCAACCGTAAACCGTTTGTAGATGTCCTTGATTCCCTTAGCTAGGGACTTGTTGAGACGTGTCTTGTGGGGTTCCTCTCCTTTGGTTTGGTATACATGTACTAGCATCATCAAGAATCTCGATATAAGACTGGTGGGGTTTGGTTTGGGTTTTAAAAACGTGATTTTATTTTTAAAATGTAGTGTTTTGTTATAATGAGGAATGGATTTGAAAATAAAGAGAAAAAATGATGAAAATGTAGAAATCGCAAAATCGACGATGAACTCCAAATTCATTAATTTTTTACTGGTTTCTAACCATATTTCCCCATAAGAGTGATACCAGTTTAGATAATATGAATGCTATTTGGCATATATCTTGGTTGTTATGCAAATTTATGCATTTCACATTTGAATTTTATTAAAGATTCATCATTATAGTGATAGAGCGTCAATTATTGAAACACATTATTGACCGAGTGTCAATATTTTCAGAATTTCAATGAACACTCATCAAAGTATTGATGGTATTAATGACAGCACTATTGAATCGTGAGTGGGCATTTTCTATCAATAGTTTATATGTCAATGTATTGAGTCAATAATATTGATGGTTTTAATGAAAGTGTATAGACCCCTTCAGACCTGTAAGTTAATGTACATTTTAAGGAGTTGTTTTCTGAAGGCAGAAACAGTAAAATAATAATATTACATGGCATCTAATTCGTACTTCTTGTATTTCCCAAGTGGCTAGTACTTGTGTTTTTCAACTTCTATCTGATATTAATTATTCAAAGTGAATTTATGATCTCAATTTCAACCTTTTGTGAATACGCTTTCGGTCAATTGAATCTCGACAGAGTGCTATAAAGTCGACAAGCCTAGTCAAGGAACTATACATACAGAAACGTCGTTATCAATATTTGGTTTATAATCGATACTATTGATGTGGTATTTTTTCATCATTGGTTTGTGATTTTACGATCTAGCAAAGATAGTGTCTCTCAATTTCCATGTTTTCAACAATATTCAGCAAAGTGCCATTCGACCATTCAATTTTACAGGTACCATTTTGTGTTCAATTTACGGACTAAAACGTTTGATAGAAACTGTAATTGTCAAGTTTCAGGTTTAAAGGTAATTTTCAAAATGTTTGAAACACTCAAGATATTTTCGTTTATTTTGTTAATTTCTGAAAGTTTTGAAATATCCTCAACGATATTCACTCAATATTCTAAAGATAAACTTTCATCCGCATATTATAGTCACGGGAATGTATCAAGTCGAGCGGGGTGTGTTTATTCCTGCTTTGTTGATGATCAGTGCTTTGGTGTGGCGTATCATACATCGCGACAGATGTGTTATTTGTATGATAAAATTCTGTATTGTGTGGGACAGTTAAATGTTATAGATGTTGGAATGGTAACACTATTACCCAAAGGTAAATCTTTTTACTGTAACTTTAATATTAGGTAATCGTCTACCGGTATTTTTCTGAAGTAGTGACCCTCTAGAATCCCCCAAAAAAAGTCTCAAGAATTACACCTTGGGCAAAAAAAAGTTATGAAATGTTTTAAGGTGCATCTGCACCAAACCACAAAAAAAGTCACGAATAAAAAAGGTATAACAAGGGGTCAAAAGTCAATTATATTCTAATTGTGTAAATATTCATACCAAATTACTCCTCTGCTTTAAAAAGTTCCGTTCTGAGTCCGACCGAGGTCGCGATACAAACAGTGATTTGGGGTTGGTTCTTGTAATGTATTCGGCATACTTAGCTGTTGAATTCTTCTTGACGTTAAATGTAGTCACCCGGATTAAGCAACAGAACACTAAAGAGTGATGAATTCCCCAAAGCCAAGATCGCCGGCTCCTCGAAATGAAATAAAATGTGGTAAGGAGCATCAGCACCCAAACGGACTAAAGAACACCTAGATACGAGCTAGGAGTTAAACAAAGCTCGAGGCAATTCTCACAGACTGTTTGAGAAAATAACAGGTTGTGTGATAAGTACGTCCGAGATGAGAGCGACACAAAACAACTTCATTGCTCCTTTTGAATCAATAGGAGTTCACATAAGGGAGGCATGATTGGATACTCCTCAAAGTGGACTCTAATTGGATTAGTTCTCACTTGCCTGTTGACTTACACAAATTTCAGCAATTCCGTTTTCAGAACGGATCATTTTTAAAGGTGTTTATCAGAGCATTAGTTGAAATAATTTTCAGAAGACTATCGATGTTAACAGTTGGGCAACAACTGTCCTGTCATGACCCAATTAAAATTGTTATCTCCTTCGTGTTGCATAATTTATCGTAAGCCCGATGCCATCGTAGCATCGCTTATCGGATGATCGGCAACACATTTAACTTAACCAGACACACTCGCGATTTTGCTGACAGACGTTATCACATAATACGCCATGAATCGCGTCGGCCGACTATTCCTATTCAAAACAGGTTGTACACAGATACGATTGTGTTCGGACCGATGACATCGCAGGTGGGTATCGGGCTGAACGCAACTAAGTTTAGAGCCACTTTTGAGAAACTATGTTAGTTATTTAAAGCTCCATTATGGATTATTCCAGATGCCTTCATCGAGAACATAGCCTTGCATAAGCCTGTTAATAGTAGCAGTAAAGATGGTTTAGGGACACCTTGTAGAGGAGTTGACGGTTCACAATCTAGAGCCGCCCGAACACAATCGTCTGCACTAGAATGGTGGTGTGTAGACATGGAGGGCATATATAATCTTCAGTCTATTTTTGTATATAACGGATTCGCAGGTAAGACCCAATGAATTCGTGATAATATATATCAAAACAAATACATTCGGATTAGTACACAAAATCTATATGTAAAGCTAACGCTTTCTCTCAGACGAAATCCAGTCTTTTGATGATCTCTTCGCAAGCGCTTGCTTTATATATTGCGTGTTCTTTCCCGAATGCATTTATTTGGATAGATTAGTTAACGTAGATCAATATGAATGAAGAAAGTTAATATTTACTATCATAGTCTTGAAAATATGTAATTGAAACATGTTGGCATCAAATATATACTATTTAAACGGTATTATTGGTTATATGAACACAATTTTAAGGATAACAATTACTTTAATAAATAACTTGCGACGTTTCGACGATGATACTTACGCCTTTATCAAGCAATGTATATTCATACCTCAATTACTAAATGCCACTTAAGGAAGGTATTATTTGTCTACTTTACCGATATTTTCTTCAGAATTTTGTATATATATATATATTATATTGAGATTGCTATTTACTCTTCTAGTTTTAGAATATTCTGTTTTACTCACGGATTATTTCTCAATGCGCTGCATCATTAATAATAATAATAATAATATTTATGGTATTGATATGACGAATGACGTCCGCAACAACCTTGAATTCATGATGATGGTAAACGTTTCTTTGAATTTCATATATAAACTGTACTTATAATGGTAGCTGTAATAAAGTTACATTTCGTCTTAAGTCATCTTTGTATTATGTTGTAGTGAACATGGATCAAATAATAGGTTTCGAGTTACGGTTGAGCTACACTGGACTATGTACTATAGAAACGTATCATGGAACCACGTTATGTTACAAAGATACTGAACCAACTAGTCTTGAGGTTTACAATATAACATCGTGTAACCAGGCAAACGTCAGTTTTACTTCAAGATTTATATTCATCAGTCCAATATCGGGACATTTCTTGCAGTTTAGAGAGATGGTGGTATTTGGACACCTTGCAAAGAACTACAATACCCTCTCCCCACACTAGTTAAGTTGTTTTATGTTTAAGTCATTTGTTTTATCTGTTTAATTTTTCGTATTTTGTGGTTTTAGTGCCACAGTGCGGTGTATTGCTGTGATATTGTTTCCATCTATGATTTTTTGCATAGATATACTTTTACCTATTGTGTTCAAACCTTTTATAGTTTTAAAACCATATGCGAATTTCTCTATGGAAAGAGGTCAATATTAAACATAAATTATTAATGTTAATTATGAAGCAAGACTAATGAATTTGTACCAGTAAATTTGTATAATAAGACAATTGTACATGAATAGAATGCCGATTGATTAAAATGCTCATGGGAACTGTGATGTTGACCTATTTCAGGAATATGTTTAACAGTTACCTCCCTTGAGATGTGACATTGCTCTTGATTGAGTGTAAATGCTTCCATATGACTTGTTCCAATTTTTATGCTGATAAAACTTAGTATCGGATGAATCTTTTGCAGTTATGGCCCTTGATTTTGTAAACCTTCAACTTCGGCACGCAAAAACATTACTTTGTTGAAATTATATTGCGAATGAAGGATGTCGTCCTCTCTTAAATATTCGAATAGGAGTGGCCACGCGTTCCCCAGAGTTTAGCAAGAAAGTGGGTTATCGTCATTCGTATAGAACAGTGGACGCCGTGTAATTCCTCTTGCATTATCAGCCAGATGATTATATTTCTTAGGCAACACACCGTAAGATACGTTTTTCTTCTGCTTTATAATTGAGTGAATCCAACAATGTAAATGTGTGATGTTATTAATATTTGGGACAAGTCTAATGGACTGTAATCGTCAATGCCAGACTTTTTCCTTCGAAAATAGTCTGTTTAATTTTGTTAATTGTTCACATAATTTTTTAATGTCAATTTATGTGAACACTCCAAAATAACAAGTTTGGCCTCTCATTATCACCCCCGGTTAAATATGACACACACAATGGGGATATGGTTTGGTCATTCGGCTTACATGATAATTCACCTCCAGAGTGGAATTACCCCTGACCAAACCATCTGGACTGGATGCAACAATTGGGTGGTCTGAGAAAACCTGCGATCCACACGCAACGACAGTCTTAGTCCGGTCTTAGTAAATTTAGCCACAGCTACAGAAAATTTAAGTTAGTAAATACAACAATAGAGAATGACTGTCACAAGCTAGATGAGCGGATCCTAATTTCCCCCCTCAAATAGGAAAACAAAAAAAGGTTGTTAACACATTTATATATACAAAAATAAATTAACAAAGATAAATATAAAAAAAAAATTGATAAACAATGAATGTCTCTATTGATCACATACATAAAGTTCGCACCTAAGAGAGGAAGTTCCGACACTACAAATATTTCCTTCCGGGACATCTAGTCCTTGTACACAGATAGATATAGCAAACCGAAGTTACCAATCAATTATAATCACCGTCCCATTCCGTGTAAGTTTCGTTCGTTGACGTAACGCACTCTGGACGTATGATATCAAACAGCATATATACAGGCATCAAATTCATCTGCAGCAGTACTGCGAGTACTTGTTCACACCCATTCTCACCATAAATCCATTACCATCTCCAAAACAGATTTGAATTGAAAATGGTCACCACTTTATTAATAAGAAAATCAATGTGATACATAAGTAAATGTTCAAAAAAAAACATAACTACTATATTGTAAAACTGAATATTAAATTAATTTTCCGCGGTAACAATAAAGCAAGAATGTGATATTTAACAAATGCAATTTTATATGTTATTATCTTAATCTAATGTATATATCAAATTCATTAATTAAAAGACCTAGACGATAAACTGTGTAAACATGAAAATGGAACTATAGGACACATGTCAACCAACTGAACAATAATTTTGCAAACAAATTATTTACAAATAATAATTTGAGTGGGGATATGCAAGATTTTGCCACAAAGTTTGAAATATTTCAATCTGCCCACAATGAACTGAGTGTCATCAATATTATACTTTCATAATGGAAAGAACGTGAGTACTAAAAGCCCCAGATATAAATATAAGAATTCGGTCGAAGGGTTTACACTAATTATACTGACCAGTTGACTTAGTGCTGGCATATAATTACAACGAAAACTTTCCACCATGGCCGTTGACTACTTGACATAGGCGTATATTACAACGATAACTCTTCCCCATAACCTTGAACTACTAAATATTGACCGTACCAATAGACTTCACCCATAAGTTCGGCTTTGTATCATTACATTAGACCTGACCTCATGGGTCATAATCTCTGAACTAGAAAACCAGACCACTCAATCGATGAATTAATTCTCTCACATGTTTTTTCAAAGCTAAACGAATATTTTTGAAAAAAAACTTTTTCGGTGTCCTACAACATTTAAATGGACTCCGTCGTCATAATAAATCAAGAGGACTAGAAAAAAAATCCGTTGGTGTCACCAAACCCTTGCACAACAAATGATGCCAAGCTCAAAATATCAGAGGCTATTCTTTGTTCTGACATACCTTTATTAGTAATATCAGTTTCACCGACTTGCAAAAACACAATATGTGGCTGGTACTCAGCACAGAGTGTCTAGTTCAAACAAAAAATTATAGAGCTATTTATCAATTGCTTAATCCAACAAATACTGAAATACAAATCCGAAACGGGTCAGTATTACAGCACAACAAATTGATGATTTAACAAAAATTGTAGATTTAACTGATAATGATTTGTGTTAACATTATGTCAACATCAACAAGTGACACATATAAAAACAAATTAGATTTTGATTTAACTGATAATGATATGTCTAATGAGGAAAAAGATCAATTACGTATCTTAAATAATCACCGTAGTGTATTTGCTACTAATCTTATCGATTTAGGAACTACAAATCGCTATGAGCATTATATAGACACTGGTGATATAAAACCTATTATAATGCCTCATTAGAGACAAAATCCAGAAACACGTAAAATTACTAAAGGATGAAATGGCGGTCGCCGATTATTCTTGTCAAGAAGAAATCAGGTGACTGGAGATTTGCAGTTGACTATAGAAAATTGAATCAGATCACCAAACCAACCATCTTTCCATCAATCCGCATCGAAGGTGTGATTGATTCAGGTAGAGAAAGTCATGCTCAAATATTTACAGTTTTGGATTGTGCTTCAGGATTCTGGCAATTCGGAATGGATAAGCGTACTCAGCATAAATCTTTATCACAGAAGACGGTATTTTTGAGTGGAACCGGATGCCATTTGGATTCAGGAATGCCCCAATGTCATTTCAACTGGTCATGACTGACATTTAGACAGAAATGCACTGGAAATATACCTTGGAGTATGTAGATGATATATTTACATTTTGCAATAATTTCAAAGATCATTTACAGCATCTCAAAAATGTATTCCTTAAACTCAAAAGTGCTGGAATAACCCTTAATCCAAATAATTGTAGATTTGCATCGAAATAATTTAGGTCATGCTTGTACAAAAGACGGAATTCAAGCCAATACTGCAAAAACACAACAAGAAGTAAGACAATTTCTTGGCTTATGTAATTATTATAGGAAATTTGTTAAAAAATTGCTCATCCTTTAAATCAATTGTTACAAAAAGATCAAAAATTCACTTGGACTGAAGAATGTCAAAAATCATTTGAAACTTGAAAGCTTCATTTAAACCTTTTATTATAACTACTACTACGCTGCGGGATTTTCTAGCGGGTATATTCTTTCACAATTAGATGATATGAATAGAGAAAGAGTAATCCACTACGGAGGACGTTCATTACATACTTTTGCACGTAAATGGACAGTAACCGTGCAGAAATGTGTTGCAGTAGAGGAAGGAATAAACAATTTCAGAGTTAATATAGCCAATTCAAAATTCAAGTATTTACTGACCATAAAGCATTAATTTGGTTGAAAACTGTCAAGCACACAAATAGCAGGCTAATTCGCTGGGCTCTCATTGTTCAGAAATACGATTTTGATAGTGAACATCGCCCAGGTAAGAAACATACCCATGCTGACTGTTTATCACGAACGGTATATTTCGCCGGGTCATTTGTCTTGTCACATGATAAACCGGCGTTTATTTCCCCATAACGATAACAAGATCCACATTCATTCCTTATATTTACATTGGTTTATCTTTTGTGATAAAATACGCTAAAATGTTCTATTTTTTAATTGTTAAAATACCCGAAACCGTTGTTGCTTAATTCACCGATATCTGTCAATCAAGTTCACCGATCCGCCCCTAACAATATAGTTCTATAAATAGACAGTCTTATTTGGATGATAGAATTATCAAATATTTAATATTCCATTGAAATATTAACAACAATTGTAAAATTAAATAAATTGTAAAATTAGATTAGACTCTAGGTAAAAAAACTTTGGTCAATCCTTGTTTTCGTTTTCGATGTATTCATACGCCTTATTGTCACGTGACAAACTACAGTTATTGGAAAATAAACGCCGGTTTGGCTAACTTGTTTATTGAAGGGAGTGATAGTAGAAATGTAAATATATTATAATAGCCTATATAACAACATGTAATATTGTCTAAGAATATCAATTATATAGTAATGCTAATCAACTGTGTTTCATGTTTTTGATAATCTTAGATAATATGACAGCTAATATAAATAGTTAGCTCATTAAGTTACCCAATGTATATGAATTGAATGGCGACTGATAAAAACATCCCTGAGGCCTATGATGCAATGACCAATATAAATATGACCAGCAAACATCAGTCGTCACTAATTCATATTACCTTGTACAACATTTCAGATCTTATTATTTACAAGCTAAATCCAAAACCCGAACTCAAGCATCAAGGACAGTCCTGACACTTCGGCTTAGAAAACCATTTCAACCCCCAGAGCCACACAGGCGAAACCCTCTTATTCCAAGTCGTTGCTACATCTTCGGTTCAGTATCGATCACCCCCGTCGATACTACTGACTAGTCGATACTGCGCAGAAGTGTCCAGAAAATCAACTACAGAAGAAAACATCAAACCATCAAAATATACAGAAGAAAACAACACAACAACTACAAAAGACAACCTACAAAATGCAAAGAATTACTATGCAGAAATTCCTCGGCAGCAACACGGAAGTTGTTAGTCAATATTTGGATGAATTCAACAACTATCTAATAATTCAACACGTGACCGACAAGCAACAACAGGCAGCTTGTCTAGCTCACCTTTTGGAAGGTAATGCCACACTAGACTAAGAGGTGAAAAATGACTTTAAGGCTTTATCAGACAGTCTCAAACGTGCATTCCATTACAAATTTGACTTATCTGAATTCATGGCAGCCGTTAAACAACAAACAACGGACACAATCGACAATTTGATTTACAAAATAAATCAAAGTTCCTTGGCTGCACTGAAAGAACTTCCAGAAAAGCAGCTGGTAGACATAACAATACAAGGTATGCTACCAGAAACTCGAATCACTGTTTTAAGTAAAGCTCCGGAAGATTTAACAACCCTGAAAGAGGTTTTACTCCTATCAAAGAAGATATCAGCAATACCTAAAACAACTACAGCTGGAACTGCATTAGATGCCAAAACCATATCTGATATTGCATCAAAAGCTGCAGAACAAGCTACAGCTTTAGCATTGAAAAGTGCAGAAATAAATATGTTGGACAAAGCAACTAGACCTACTGAATACAGACCTACTGACTACAGATCTTCAGACTACAGACCTACACATTACAGAACAAGAAACAACTAGTACTTTCAAAATAATCGTTCTTATCAAGCTGGACAAATTGTTTGTCAAATTTGCAAAAGGTCAAACCATACAGCAGACAGGTGTTTTTATAGAAATAATCAGGCTAAACAAAATTTTTCAAGTAGACCAAACCATTGGAACAAATCACATTAGCACGTTGCGCCTGCTTCAAATAAATCTTTGAACATGCAACCAACTGAAAAAGATAAGAAGAAGATTATGAAAAAAAAAATACCACAAATTAATTTATCAACCACTATTGAGAAAAATATTATTTTGGTTAAAATTCGGAATAAATTGGTTAATACTTTATTAGATACAGGTGCTTCAATATCATAAAATATTAGGAACTGTATCATTGCCAATAAAAATTCAAGGACTTACATTTCAATTTAATTTCATGTTATTCCCTATTTACATTACCCATTAATAATAGCTTTAGATTTTATGAAACAATATAATGTACAAATAGATATTGGACAAGGAATAGTTAATTTACAAGACAGATTAGCTGAAGTCATGTTAATAACACAAGACATAGGTTTTGTTAGGTCAACAAAATCAATAAAAATAAAAGCAAAATCTCATGCTGAAATTCCTGTTAGAATAAGTAAAACTCCACAAGATATCACGGCATTATTAGAACCAAGTAAATTTCTTAAGAATTTAAACTTATTAGGTGCAAAACGATTAGTAAAAATTAAAGCTATATATCAATTATTAAACCCTACAAATGTTGAAATAAGAATACCTAATAGGGCAATATTAGCAACAGCACAAAAGATTGATGATAACACTAAAACTGTTGATATAAATGATAATGAGTCCTCGTTAAATAATGTTAACATTATGTCAACATCGACAAGTACAAATGATAACAACAAATTAGATTTTGATTTAAGTGATTCAGATTTGTCTAATGAGGAGAAAGATAAATTAATTACCTTTCTAAACAATCACCGTAGTGTTTTTGCTACTAATCTTAAAGAATTAGGAACTACAAATCGCTATGAGCATTATATAGATACTGGTGATAATAAATCAGAATGTCTCATTACAGACAAAATCCTGAAACGCACAAAATAACAAAAGGACTTGTTGATGAAATATTATTCAACACAGCACATCAGACTGGCGCTCGCGCTCTTGTCAAAAAGAAAACATGTGACTGGAGATTTGCAGTTGATTACAGAAAATTGAATCAGATCACCAAACCAACCTTTTTTCCATTAATTCGTCTGGAAGATGTGATTGATTCAGTTGGAGAAAGTCATGCTCAGATCTTTACAGTCTTAGACTGTGCTTCAGGATTCTGGCAGTTTGGAATGGATAAGCGTACTCAGCATAAATCTGCTTTTATCACACAAGACGGTATTTTTGAGTGGAACCGGATGCCATTTTGATTCAGGAATGCTCCAATGCCATTTCAACTGGTCATGACTGACATTTATACAGAAATGTACTGGAAATATGCCTTAGTGTATGTAGATGAAATAATCATATTTAGCAAAAATTTCAAAGAACATCTACAGCATCTCCATAATGTGTTCCAAAAACTTAAAAATGATGGAATAACTCTTAAACCAAGTAAGTGTAAATTGGCCGCTAAACAAGTTAATTATTTAGGTCATGTATTTACGAAGGACGGAATTCAAGCCGATAATACTAAAACAAAAGCTGTTCAGGAAATGAAACCTCCAAAAACACAACAAGAAGTTCGACAATTTCTTGGCTTGTGTAATTATTACAGAAAATTTGTTCAAATTTTTTCAAAAATTGCTCATTCATTGAATCAGTTGTTACAAAAAGATCAAAAATTCACTTGGACTGAAGATTGTCAAAAATCATTTGAGGATTTAAAATTACATTTGACCTCACCACCAATATTGGCATATCCAAAGTTTAACAAACCTTTTATCTTCAGATGCTTCAGGATTTTCAATTGGCTATATTCTTTCACAATTAGATGAGAAGAACAGGGAAAGAGTAATCCACTATAGAGGACGTTCATTACATACTTTTGAGCGTAAATTGACAGTTACTGAACAAGAATGTATTGCAGTAATAGAAGGCATTACAAATTTCAGAGTTTATTTAGCTAATTCAAAATTTAAAGTATTTACTGACCATAAAGCATTAACTTGGTTGAAAACAGTTAAGCATACAACAAGCAGGTTAATTTGCTGGGCTCTCCTAGTTCAAGAATACGATTTTGAAATTGAACATCGCCCAGGTAAGAAAAATACCAATGCTGACTGTTTATCACGTACGGTTTATAGAGAACAACCAACACTGGAAGACAGTGCCGAACTTCCCTCTGTATTCATGGTCAGTTCAAATGATTCAGTAACACTAGAAAAAACATTTTGTTATGAAGGTGATGTGAAACCTCCTATTGTTACTGAAATATTAGCTCTAGATACAAAAGCCGATGATTTACCAACCATCGCTGAAGAGCAAAGAAAGTGTCCAGATTTTAAAAACATAATTCAGTACATTGAAGATGATAAGATTCCAAACGAATTAACGGATAAGGAATCCAAAGCTCTAGTTTATAAAGCAAGCTACGAATATGACATGTTAGATGGAGTTCTCTATCATATGTATCAGCCTAGACGTAGGCATGGGTCATTTCAAACGGACCAGGTAAGGCAATTAGCATTACCAAAGATCCGCCGTAAGGAAGCTTTAAGAGCATATCATGATTCAATGGCAGGTGGTTGTCAAAAAGGTAGAGACGCCACTCGTGAGGCACTTTTACAAAAATACTGGTGGCCAGGACTTTACCAAGAGGTGAAAAACTATATACTTCACTGCGATGTAGTACACCCAGGTAAAGTTCCTTTATGTCCATTACCAGTTGAGACGGCATTTTCAAGAATTCATTTGGATTTCTTGGGTCCTCTCCCTACAAGCCCAGAAGGTTATAAACATATATTGTTGAATGGTGACTCGTTTTCTGGATGGCCAGAAGCCATACCAACGAAGACACAAGAAGCCAAAGAAGTAGGCAATGCATTGTATCATCAGATTTCCACAAGAACTATAGTTACAGATGGAGGTGTAGCCTTTATGTCACAATTAGTGAAAGCTATTTGTGAGTTATTTGAAGTCAAGCATCACTGTACAAGTTCTTATCACCCATAAACTAATGCTACTTATGAAAGACGCAATGCTACCATAGAGCAAGCTTTACGAGCCTATTGCAACAAAGCTCAAACTAATTGGCCAGACATCTTGTCTTCAATTATGATGACGTTTAATGATGACGTTTAATGATGACGGTGTCACAATCTTCACAATATAAACTATTGTTTTCAGGAGACATGAATTTACCATTTGATACCTCAATAATCCCAAAGGAAACGGTAGGTAAAAATACACAAGTGTATTTACAACATTTGATAGATAATCTTAAAGTATCAGCAGAGATTGCTACCGAAAATATTAAAAGCATGCAAAATAAAAATAAAGAATATGCTAAAATTTCAACTGCAACTTAAATATGAAGGCCCATACGAAATAATCGAAATGGGACCAAAATATACACACAAACTACAAGGTTGTGTAGATAAAATCACTAGTAAATCATTAATAAATGCATCGAAATTAAAACACTATGTTCTACCTACTACTGATGCAGATGATAATGTAAATGATGTTGATAATGTAAATAATAATGTAAATAATAATGATGATAAACTTGATAATAAAACCTGTGATGATAATGTAGATACAAATAAGAAAGATAAGCATGACAACGATAAGAACATACAAAGTAAAAAGTTAGCTGGTTCTCAAAATATGCCAGATGAAAATGAAGTAAAAATTATGAAAATTATAAAATGTAAGTTTGTCGTTAACAAGGATAAAGAATATTATGTTCAATGGTCAGATAAATCTAGATCATGGGTATCTTTTGATCAAGTACCTCTAGATATCAAAACTGCATATCATGTATCAAAAACAAAATCAGGAAGAAAACGAAAAAGTCCAATTACGAAAACATTTTTCAAAACCATTTCTTTATAAATTATTTGATTATATAATTAATCAAAAATAATATCAGTCAGTAAGGCAAAATTTGTAAGTGAATTATTCACTGAATTTTAGTGCTAGAAGTATTTGGTTAGGAACCAACCATTACTCAACCCGCTAAGCTACTCATACATCTTATTTTCATTCTCTTATAGGCAATTTCAGTACATGGATCCTATCGACCATAATATTCTTTAGCTTCGTTCAACAACTTCATTGCCATGACGTACGACAACGAATTAATTATGGTGTTATATTTACTAACGAAGGTCAAACTATAAATTTCGGTGTGGAACATTGGCTTCACACATTCGAAATTGCATTACCAAATACAAAACCATTAAATAAGATTGTTCATTGTAATTTTAATAATCAAACGTGTCAATTTATTCGAAACATCTACAAAGAACTTCCCCATTTTTAAATCAGATAATAGATTTTATCAAACATTTATTTCCTTTGAGAAAAATTAATTTAGAAAGCAGATCTAAACGTTCATAATTACCTTTCATTGGCTCTTTTGCTAAATCACTTTTTGGCACTGCTACAGAAGATGATATCAATCTGCTGGCAAAGCACATAAATGCACTAACCAAGGAAGATCGCAAATTATCAAATGTCTTGGTGAAACATTCAGACCATTTTTCTCCTTTTGCCAATAAAATTAACGAAAGAATGAATAACGCTCTTAATGGCATCAAAGAAAACCACAAAACAATTATTCTTGCTTCAAAAAACCTAGAATCAACATTTGATAGTCTAGAGGATACATTTATGACTTTGACTAAATTAATATCACAACAAATTCAAATTTCAGCCTTGATCGAACATCAGTTAACTGATTTTATAATTTGCTTACAGCAGTTAACTGAAAATACCCTTTCACCTTTAATTCTTTCACATAAAAGACTATTGAGTACCATATATAGTATTCAAAAATTATTAGATGGAAGTAGTATATGAGCTTTCTAATTGATGGACATTATCCTACTTTCAAAATCTTATATACTAATCATATTATTATTCTCATGCTAAATTTATTGTTCAAAGAAAATCTAATAAATCTATTTATCTATAAAAATTCCCTATTACAAGATATATAAAATTATATAAAATTGACACTGTTCCTGTACCTATTAATAATGCTTCACAACATACCACCCAATTATTGGACTTAGACAAATATTTAGCTGTCAGTAAGTCAAATAAATATTATGTTAAATTAAATTCAATTCATTACCAATGCTTCTATAAATTACCTTTCAGATCTATTAAAGTTTTTACATGTGAAACTGCTTTATTTTTTTAAGTAAAAGACCAAATTAAATATGTAATTTTCAATTTATCCGAAATATTAAACAACTTACAAAGAATTCTCTTTTAATAGGTAATGTATCTAAGATAGAATTTAACTGTGAAAATAAAGAGAAAGTCATTGAAGGATGTAATTTTGTTAATATTCCATGCCAATGTACTATATTTAATGATGATATCGTTGTACCTCGATCACTAGGATCATGTCAGGCACATGGCCAGGTCAGTAAAATTACAAAACTACATCCAATAAATTTGGCATTAGTGCAACATTTTTTTGCTGAAAAAGATCTTGCCGCTATTGCAGGCAATTTTATTTTCAAATCTCCATTAAATATTTCTAATAGTCCACAATTCAAATTTTATTCTCATAAATTTTCTAAAATAATCGCTGTTGATAAAGTTAAGCATTAAGTTTAAAAACGATCATAGAACAGACGAAACAAGATAAAGTTATTTTTAAAACGCTATCTGAATTATTATATGATGATCAGATCACAACTTCCAATTTTTCAATTTATGACATCCATTTTTTTTTTATTGATTATCATATCTTTGATTTTGTCCGTTTTATCCTTAATCGTCTTCATTTTATTACTGTGTAAATGCCGAACTTTATCAGCAATGATGATGCTCCTTCTAAAAGCAAATGGCAATGTTATGGAGGAATTACCATCTTTAGTTTATAAGCCTCTCACTACTTTGGCTCCAAAAACACAAAATTCCCCGATTCAATTTTCTGATCAACTCCCCATTTTTACATTCATTTTAGCAATTCTAATTTAATTATACTAGTTTCAAAATTCTTTAGGTCAATAAGAGCAGAGACTCAAATACTTCTCGAATTTACAAATGGTTCACAATGTGTTATATTTTCAATTATTAATTTAAGGCATTGTCCCACACATTGGACAATTACCCACCCATCACTCATTAGCAATTTGCGGTTATCTCTTTCATGTTTTCCATCCTTATCTTTGAATTGGCCAAATTTCCAAGTAGTAAGTACCATCACTCATAAACCCTAAATAATTCCTCAGACACTAAAAGTACCATATTTTCATGTATGGAAACTACACCAAATTCTAAAGGGTGACAATTGCTCAGCGTACTTACTGCTTGGCCACAATTCCTACATTTCTATATTGACGCCTGATGCCAATACTGCTTTGTCTAATGGTACTTTATAACCAAACATTAGTGTAGCTTGATTTGATGTAGAACATTGAAACACAACAAGATAATTTGAATATGAATTAACCTATGACAACAAAGTTGAGGTGGGCGTGGCACATTCGGGTTGAATTTGAAACTAATTGTTTACATTTTGGGGAAGGGGCATAACTCGCATAGGATACGTTTGTTCAAAAAGGAACTTTGCACACAATTACCTCATTATTTTGGCCAGTTTGTGTTAATAGGTCAATTGTTTCAGCTTTATAGTTCAAAAAAAGGAACGGGTTTTGTAATTTCCATATTTTCAATTTTCTATTTTGACCTTTATTGACATTTGTTAACCTATATCGTTTGACCTGTATGATGTAGAAGCTTTGAATTTGGAACACAACATAACAATCAGAATATCAATTAACTTATGCCAAAGAATTGAGGTGGGAGTGGCAAATCCGGGTTAAATTACTCATTATTGACATTTTTGGCCAGGGGCAAAACTCACAAATTATACATTTGTTCAAAATGTAACTTTGCATACATTTATTTCATCTGTTGAGCCACGTTGTCTTAGAAGTTCGATTGTTTCAGCTCTATAGTTCAAAAAAAGGAACAGGTTTTGAAAATTCAAAATGTTCAATTTTTGACCTTTTTTGACCCTGACTTTTGTAGGATCAAAGGTCATTCACATTGGCTATTTTTTTTATACTTTTATATTTGCTGTCTTATCTCAACTTCCGGTTTTATAGCCGTATATATTTTAAATTTTGAGGACTTTTATCTCGTAACCTTGACCTTTGTGGACCGTCTCCTTTTTAATGTCAAATGTCATTGACCTTGGCTATCTTCTGATACTTTCATTGGTGAGGTCTGTCTACTTCCGGTATAACAATCTTCCAAAGAATCAAAACTTCTCAACTTTAGACTGTTTTTGCACGTGATGTAATTATCGTAGAAGGTTGATTTTTTCATGGTCTTTTGCAATTTGCTACATTTGCAAAGTCCCACTCTGTGCCACGTGTGGCTCTAGTAATTTCCTTTTTTCTAGGCAAATTCAGTGCATGGATTTTATCAACTATAGTATTCTTTAACCTCCTTCAACAACTTCATTGCCATGTTCGACATCGAATAAATTATGGTGTTATATTTACCAATGAAGGCTAAACAATTAATTTTGCTGTGGAACATTGGCTACACACATTTGAAATTCCCAAGGGTTGGCTCGGGGGCAGTTGTTCACACGACGAAAACAACGAGAGTCGACTCCTGGGCCGCACTGGAGTTGCCGACTCAATCATATTGAATTAAGAACTTTCTCATTTTTAAATCAGACAATGGATTTTATTAAACATTTTATTAAAGCCTTCTCCAAATCCAAGTCAAAGAGATCACGAAGAATGCCATATCTCCAAGTGGTGTCATAAGCCTTCTCCAAATCAAAGAATATGGCTACTAAATGGTGATTTTGGATGAAGGCATCCCTGACAAACGATTCAAATCTAACGAGATGATCAAGAGTGCTCCTTTGGGACCGAAATCCACATTGGAGGTTGGTTAGAAGATTGTTTGACTCAAGTTGCCAAACGAGCCTTCGATTGATCATTCGTTCCATGGTTTTACAAATGCAGCTGGCTAATGCAACAGGGCGGTAATTAGCAGGATTCCTCAGCAGAACATCCATAGAGTTCTGGATGTCGAATGACCCCTTTGGAAGAGTTCAGAATGAATTCTGCGAGCACATTTAACTAACAAGGAGCCGTTACGCAGCTTTTTCGTAGATTTGGGCTCACTTGCAAGACCTGTAAATCTTTTGCGATTGCAAATGGCGATAAGGATGATAAAGACCTTTCAGGGTCACTACTGTCAATGACAAGAAACCGTGGCCATGGTTCGTCTGTTACGAATCAGTAAATTCAGCCTCGGTTAACCGGCGCTTACACTCGTTTGTGTTTTTTTTTTAATTTGTGTTGCTATAACGATTTCTTTAAACGCACATTATATGGTATTCTTTCTCAACAGACGAGACGGATTAAGACGATCGGATGACAAAAGTATCCTGGTCGATTGAGTTATTTTTTAAGTTCCTACGAGAAAGCAACATCTGCGTCATACGGATATTCATTCGTCGAGCTCAGTCCACATCTGCGCCATACGGATATTTATTCGTCGACCTCAGTCCACACGGAAAGACGGCCTATCAGTTGAGAACAAATATTTTTCCCTTTGAAACACTAACGATCTATCAACCAGTATGATTCGACTCTACCGTCATAGTACATTTTTAAAATTTCTAACTGTAAAGAAATCTGACAGTCAAAGAGTGGCACTTTTGAAAACCATGACCATTCCGCAAATGGAAGTTCTATGCGAAATACTATTGAACATTTTAAGAGTATAAAAATGTTGTAATCTTGCTAAAGATTAATAAAAGTGATGTCATGAGGAATGCTGCTAAATTGCCTTAGAACACAATCTTTCATGAAATGACATTAGTGGTCATAACATATAAATCTACCTGACAAGTATTACAGCACTATAGCCATTAATAAGGTAGTGGCTGTATGGGGCCATTTATTGTTCCTATAAGACAAGTATATAGTAGACAAGTGCCCAAAGGGTGTATAGTACATCACAAATGATGGATGTGGCCTTTGTTCTCCTTTAAGATAAAGGGGCAGAGAAAAGCTAACAAGATCTTCCCGGATGTAGACTACAGGAGAGAGAGATACCCTTCTTGGTGAAGGTATCCATCGTCTAGGCAATTTAGTAAGCAGTCCGTTAAGATTTCCCTTTAGTATTGTAGTATTGTTATTAATGAATTGTAGATCTGTATTTTATCATGTTAATTTTAGGGGTTTGAAGTCAGACATAAATTAATAGGGTACTTAAGGGATGTAACCCTTAACTCAGTAGGTGACCTGTCATGTTTAGTTGACGTATAGTCCTATTAGCTATTGTCTTATAAACTAAGTATACACAAATAACATGACCGGTTAACCAAGTGTACATGAATATCCATTTAATGATATTTATGTACGCTTGTGAGCCAGGGTATATATATCCCTGTTATTATTGAGGAAATCATCTTTGGGTTTACCTTTACATCGTAGTGAGTAAGGAGTAAGGATTGCTGGCTTCAACCCCCGACCAAGAATAAAGAAAGTGGAATATCACAAGTACTTTGAGTTATTTGGAAAGAAAAGGAAACAATAGTGGGAATTAGAGATCAGATACCAAATTGTAGAGAGACCAGTCAACAAGTTGGTTGACTGGAGAAACTCTGGGAAAATAGTAACCCCACCAGAACAACCCATCACCAACAGTTCACTACACATCAACTTCATTTCACTGGTGCCGAGAACTAGCCGAACCTGCAAAATCTTTGATTAGAGGTCGTCACATCACAACACAACAAGGAAGTCCGAAAAGTTTAAAGCAGCAAACAATAGAAAGCTAGAAATTGTTTAAGAAGAGGATAGTTAAACCACAGAAGAAGAGGATAGTTAAGTCACAGAAGAAGAGGATAAACAAAGGAAAAAACAAAGCAGAAACAGAAGCAGATACGTGTTAGGAAAATAAGACAATAACAGAGGATATAAAAGGGTGAGTCATTTCTATTAAATATTTGCCAACCACATTTAGTATTAAACAATTAACAGCACTAATAAGAAATAAATTACTGGTTTGTCTCACATTTAATTAGTAGTTTAACAATAGTAGAATATCGCGATACCAATCTAAATTTCAAGTTTCTCAAGTTTATTGAGTTTAATTTTAAGACATCAATCACAAGTTATAAGTCGGTTATCTATATTTCAAAGTAGAATTGACTTAATCTCTCAAAAAAAAAAAAAAAAAAATATTTTTGGTATTCCATTTCCTAAGATGAATTCCGAAATGGCATTTCAAGTTTTAACGGAAAATTTTCAACAACTTCAATTAGAGTTAAGATCTCAAGGGTTGCCTCAGCAAATTAGGAATTTTTTCGGGGGAAGGTGATAGGAGGTTTACTGAGTGGCTTAGGGATGTTGAGAAGGCTGGTTTGCTTGTCAGTGCAGATGATAGTAGGCTAGTTGGTTTGGCATTGCAAACTTGCTCTGGAGTTGCAGGCAATTTTGTATTGAGGAAAATTAAAGAAAATCCTACTATTACATGGAGGGCATTAAAGGAGATTTTGACAAATAGGTTCAGTGATAGCTCTTGTCGCCAATATGCTCTACAGAAATTAAGAAAAACCAAGCAGCTTCTTAAGGAGTCGGTGCAGGCTTTTGGAGACAGAATAATCATGCTCGCTGAGGAAGTTTACTCTCATGAAGAATTTGCTAACACATTTATACAATCTCAATTAGTGGATATTTTTATGGACGGCTTATCGGATGATAAAGTAGCTAGGCGTTTAATACGAAATAAGCCAGACACGATTGAAGAGGCAATTAAAGTTGCTGCATTCGAGCAACAAGTTGGCAAAACTTTTGACATAAGGCGAGGTAGGGAGGAAGTTCCGATGGAAGTTGATGCCATTCAAAGTAAGGATGCCATGAAGGAATTATGCCAGAAAATTGACCAAGTTTTAGCAATTGCACAAACGGAACCACCAAAGAATAATACTAAGGATTATAGGAAAGGATATAATAAATATTCAAGTGGAGCTAATTTTCAAACACATTCAAACTCTCATGTTCCTAAAAGCAGACAACCCTATTCACAGCCTCAGGCAAGGCATTATCAATGGACGCCTGATGGTAGTCCAATTTGTTATAATTGCTCAACACCTGGACATACTCGACTTACTTGTCGTAAGCAAAATTTTCACCGTGTAAACAGGTATTCAAAAAACTAGGTAGCCCCAGGGTAGTGCAAGATATTAAAAGGCCTAGCCTGGGTAACAATGGAAAACCAATCTATCTTGATAAAAAGAGTATCAATAGTTGTGAAAGTAACAAAAGTAGAATAGGAAACACTTTTTGTAAGATTCAATTTTTTAATATGTCTATTTATGCACTTAATGACTCTGGTGCTGAAGGTTCAGCAATAGATTTTGATAGTTTTAAACAGTTACCTAAACAATTTGTATCTAATTATATAACTGATCAAACTATGTTACATAAAATGGTAGGTGTAACAGGAACAGCATTATCAGTCAAAGGTAAATGTAACATAAAGTTAAAAATTGGCAGGTCTTATCGTCGTTTTCAGTTCCATGTGATAGAAAACTTAGGAAAAGAAATGATATTAGGGAATGATTTCTTTCAGGCATATGGAGTACTATTAGACTTCCAAGCACATACTATGCGCGTTCAAAATGAACTTATTCCTTTATATACCAAAGACCATAATGTAGGGTATAAGAAAGTCCATTTATTAACACTTAAAAAAACAGTTCACATTCCACCTGGTTCAGTAAATTCAATTGAATTAAAAATTCCCAATGTTATGAAAAATAAATGTATTTTAATTTCACCTTTAGATAATAGCAATGTATTTTTTGACCAACCTGGTCTCTTGATGTCTAGCAGCATTCACTGTCCTAAAGCGGCAACTGTTAAAGTAGGCTTAGTTAATCACACAGGAACTGCTTTTAAAATACGAAAGAAACAAATTTTAGCTGTAGGTGAAGTCATCTCGGAAGATGACATTGTTATGGAAACCACCAAAGAAATTTGCTCTATTAAGAAAGTACTAAGTCCAGGACGTAAAGATGAACCCCTATTTGACTCTAAATCTTTAGAACATATTGAACCTGGTCAGAGATATAATCTGCTTACAGTATTGAAACAAAATGAGGATTTATTTGCAAAAGATGACTTTTCATTAGGAAAAACCGATGTGGTTAAGGCAAAACTAGACACAGGTACAAATCCACCTGTTAGACAAAAACCATACCGCTTACCAATTCTACAAAAACAAATTGTGGAAGAGCAAGTAAATGATATGCTGCAAGCCGGGGTTATCAGACCAAGTACAAGCCAATATGCATCCCCGATAGTCTTAATTCCAAAGTCCGATAATACATATAGATTTTGTATCGATTATAGAAAATTAAATAATCAGTTAATAAAAAACTCATACCCTTTGCCAAATATGGACGATTTGATCTCATCAATGGGTGATTGCAAATATTTTACATGTCTTGATTTAAAAAGTGGATATTGGCAATTGAAATCGATGAAGAATCAAAACATAAAACGGCATTTACATGCTACAAAGGACTATTCGAATTTAATAGGTTGCCATTTGGTCTGTGTAATTCGCCAGGGATATTTCAAAATACTATGGATAACGTTATGGCAGGTTTGTTAAATAAATTCGTCAAAGTTTTTATAGATGATATTATGATACATTCTAAAACGTTTGAGGAACATTTACAGCATATTCAAGAAGTGTTCAATAGATTAAGAAAAGCAGGTCTAAAATTGAAACCATCCAAATGTAATTTCTTAAAACCAGAAGTGGTGTATCTTGGACATATAATATCAAAAGATGGAATTCGACCTAATCCGGATAAGATCAGTGCCATACAAAATATGCTTCCACCCAAAAATGTCAAACAAATTAGATCTTTTATAGGAATGGCTTCATATTATAGAAAATTTATACAAAATTTCTCAGAAATAGCACAACCATTATTAAGATTAACTAAAAAGAATGCTGTGTTTAAGTGGGATGGTACAGCTCAAGAATCTTTTGAAACTTTAAAAGAGAAACTAATAAGTGCTCCTATTTTGGCATATCCAGATCCAAATAGACCATATAAGTTGTATACGGATGCATCCAAATATGCTGTGGGTGGTGTGTTGACCCAGGAATTTCCCGAAGGAGAAAGGGTCATTCAGTATGTTTCACTGCAATTAAATTCCTCGCAATTAAACTATCCAGTTATTGAAAAAGAAGGGTTAGGCATAATACATTGTCTTAATAAGTTGCGACATTATTTAGTAGGAGCCAAATTCACCATCTATACTGATCATAAACCATTAAAATCTCTCTTTACCGCTGAAAATAAAAACCCAAGAATTCAACGTTGGAGCATTATGCTCGAAGAAATGCAATGTGAAATACAATATACTCCAGGTAATCAAAATGGTCAGGCAGACTTTCTTTCTAGGATTAAAAGTAAACCATTGAATTCAGAAAAAGATACTAACGATCTAATAGTAATAGATACTGATAAAAATCTTCAAGATGAAGTCATAGATCATTTATCCACCTTAGAATCAGAGTTTGATACAGATGATGAACATGATGACAGATCAGTTAGATTAAATCTACAATTTCCACGCCACTTACAAAAACAAGATCCTGAAATAGTCAATTTAAAAACAGCCCTTGAGAACAATAGTCAAGATAAAGCAACTGAGGATTATGTTTTATTATCAGGAGTTGTGTATCATATAGCTAAACCCGTCCAGAATGACAAAACACATCGTCTGCAACTTGTTGTCCCACATTCTTTTACCGATACAATTTTATATGATTTTCATGACTCTCAATTTGGATCGCATACTGGAATAGAACCCGTTACTTTTGGAAAAATATGTATAAGGATGTAGTTAATTATGTACAAAATTGTGTCACATGTAAAACCAGAAAACTTAAAAAGCAACGAGCAGAAATCCAAGACATGCCACAAGCTGAATATCCTTTTGAAATTATTGGGATAGATCACGTGGGACCATTGCCCATTTCAGATAATGGAAATCGATATATTTTATCAATAGTCGACCATTTTAGCTCTTGGGTAGAACTCTTTGCCTTACCTAACAAAACCACAGCATTAGTTGCAAAAGTTCTATTAACAGAAATAATCCCTAGATTTGGTTGCCCCAGGCTGATGATTAGTGATAGAGGTATGGAGTATAACTCGGATGTATTAAGACAGTTAACCAAACAAATGAACATTAATCATAAAAAAACCAGTAGTTACCATCCAGCATCAAATGGGAAAACCGAGAATATTCATGGTTTCCTAAACAATAGTCTGGCAAAACTAATTCGCAGCGATCAAGGCAATTGGGACGAATATCTTCCTGGTATTTGCATGGCATATCGTTCTTCAGTGCATGGCAGTTCAAAATTTTCACCATTTTTTATCAATTATGGTAGAGATATTTGCCTCCCAATGGATACCTTGCTAGGTCCCAAATTGAAATACTTTGGAGAAGAGTATGTACCAACTACATTACAACGGCTACATAAAACATATATGGAAGTCAAAGAAAACATGATAGAAAGTCGCAAACGAAATAGAGATCTAGTAAATAATAAAATTGTTAAAAATCATTATGAAGTGGGTGATAGTGTATATTACTATGATCCGACAACTAAAAATTGGCAACTTCATCCAAGTTAACGAATCATTGGAAACCATACTTTAGAATCATAGAACAATTTTCCCCTGTTAACTTTAAAATCAAGCATCAATTGACTGGAAAAACCAAAAATGTTCATAGTGATAATTTACGGTTGGCAGATCCCAACATTTCTTGGGATGAGTATCGGGAAAGACATGACCACATTTTAAACAAGGTTAAAGATGCCAAGGACGCGGCAGAAGAGTATCGCAGACAGCCCTTTAGATCTACTAAAGCCGTTCATAAAGGTGTCACTAAAAGAGTTAGTCACTTGGAAGGTTCGGGTGATGATATCAGTTCAGATAGTTTTGATTCAGAGGATGATATCCCTTTGGCTATGTTGCCACCTACTAACAATGTTTTAGAGTACAATTGGATTGGATTGGATAATACTTCTGATGAGGAGTATATGTCGTGTGAAGAGTAAAAGATTGAGTTAGATGCATAGTTGTAAGGTGATGACAATGGCAGTTATCTTCCTAGTGTTAACTTTTGTATATCATTATTACGATTTATATCACAGAGTAAGCGAGTTTGTTAATATGTTATGTTCTTTTGATAGAATATTGTACCAATTGGATCTTGTAAGTGAGAATCTTGCACAGTTGAATAGTCACTGTTGTAAATTGGTTATTGGATAGATTGAATACATTGATTATATAGTTTATATTTTAGGATCTTAGTTCTAGAGGTCATGGTGTAATTTATTATGTATATTAATTTATTTTCTTTTAAGTTTTTTAATTCTTGGTAATTTTCGTTCCTTGTGTCTACTTTCAGGCCATGGGTTTGATTGGTTTTGGTGTGCTTTAAAGTTGGTTTCTCCTCCTAGTCCAACCTAAGAATCACAATGTCCAATTTGTACTGCAGAATCGATTTTATGCCTCATAAGTACTTGGTTGCTGAATTTTAATTTAGACTTGGAACCATTTTCAATTCAAGTTCAGGAATTGGAAAAATCAATTGGCTTATTTAGAAATTCGTTAAAAGGTTTTAATACAAATGATGTTAAGTCAATTTCTACGATATCTAAGTCTGGTAAAAACTATTCCTCATGGCCAACATTTTTAACCCTAAATCAAAATTTGCATAAGGTATTAAACACAGAATATGATCTTCTTGACCATCAATTTAAAAAACTTAAAAATACATATGGTAATTTAATTTTTCAAGTCACCTTGTCTTCCAAAGAACGGTCAAAAAGAAGTTTATTACTGTTAGGTGGTCTGATGTCTTTTCTGTTTGGAACAGTAAGCGAAGAGACGGTAGATAAACTAAAACAAAAAGTGGATTTCCTCAAGAAATCTCAAGAAAGAATTATACATGTTGTCGAAGAAGGCTTCACCGTTTTAAACGCAACTAATAAAAATGTGGCCATAAATAGAAATTCAATTAAGCTACTTGTAAATTCAACTAATGCCTTATCCACATGGATGACAAAAATGTACAATAATTTGCAAAATGGTATTGAGCCTCAAATTCAATTTTTACAAGTAGCCCAGAAGTTATCGGGTGTATTTAATATTATTCATTCAACCTTTTATAATCTTCAAAATTCCATTTCATTTTTGCATAATCAAATTATTGAAGCAATTCAAGGTCATTTGACATCGGATTTGATTTCTGATGATCAATTGATGAGCGCATTACAGGAAGTACAACAACAACTTCCAGCCACATTGGAATTGCCATTGCCATTATTTAAGCATGAGCTTCGCAAGTATTACGAAATTTTAAGAGTTACACTTATTCCAGATAGAAATTCATTTCATATTTTAGTTGTTATTCCATTAATTAAGAAATCGTCTATTTTTGAATTATATAAAATTGTTCATGTCCCTTCTTTGTTAAATACTTCTATGGTATTAGATTATGAAATATCACATTCATTTTTAGCAATTTCCCCAGATAGAAATGTTTATATGTTATTATCCGATCATGAAGGTCAGTTATGTCATAAATCAGATTTTTCATTTTGTTCTATTAATAAGCCTATTTTGTCATGTAATTTTGCACCACCATGTGTATCTTCTTTGTTCTTACGAAATTCCAAATTAGTCTCTGAGACATGTAAAATCAAAATTTCTAAAGTTCCAAAATTCCCAATTGTGGAATCTCTTACAAAGAGACATTGGCTTTTATTTAGTCCTATACAGACTACTTTAGATCTTGTGTGTTTGGATCCGTCTAAAAATATGCTTCATAATATTGATATTAATGTGGGAGTCACTATTTTAAATCTACCAAGTGGTTGTTCGGGCCACAATGCTGCATTTAGCATACCATATTATTTACAAGAAGAAAGGAAATATACTATAAGACAAACCAGTAAGAAGATGATTGATATCTCACAATTTTTGTTTAATTTAACAAAACAAAAATCTTTAAGCTTACCAAATTCGATTCCAACATTCAATTTAATTTCGGATATTCCGAACATGCCAAATAAAACTAAAATGTCAAAATTAATAAAAGAGATTCAGGACATAAAATTTCAAAACCCAATGTTATCAAACCCTTTTACTTCTAAAACCCATTGGGTATACTATATTTTAATTACATTGGTAGCTGTAATTGTGTTAATTGTTCCTCCTATATTAGGTTTTAAAAAATTTTATAAACAAAGGAAAAGGTTGGCAAATATAAGTTATAGAAATGACACAGTAACAATTTCAGCCCCACCCATTCCAAAACGAAGAGAAAAACCACACAGAGACGATATAGATGATGATGATGACGCACCACCAACTGCAGTGGACCCATTATTTATGCGGGCAGTGGAAATAATTTCCTGAGTATTGAGTGACATTATGGTGACTTTGTGAAAAGGAACAATTTCTTTATATATATCCATAATATATATATATATATATCAAAAAAAAAAAAAAAAAAAAAAATCTATATCTATCTATCTTTGTAAAAAGCATATATATCTATCTATTTTTGGTTTTTTTTTTTTTTCGTTGGGGAGGGAACATATTTGTAGTATTGTTATTAATGAATTGTAGATCTGTATTTTATCATGTTAATTTTAGGGGTTTGAAGTCAGACATAAATTAATAGGGTACTTAAGGGATGTAACCCTTAACTCAGTAGGTGACCTGTCATGTTTAGTTGACGTATAGTCCTATTAGCTATTGTCTTATAAACTAAGTATACACAAATAACATGACCGGTTAACCAAGTGTACATGAATATCCATTTAATGATATTTATGTACGCTTGTGAGCCAGGGTATATATATCCCTGTTATTATTGAGGAAATCATCTTTGGGTTTACCTTTACATCGTAGTGAGTAAGGAGTAAGGATTGCTGGCTTCAACCCCCGACCAAGAATAAAGAAAGTGGAATATCACAAGTACTTTGAGTTATTTGGAAAGAAAAGGAAACAATAGTGGGAATTAGAGATCAGATACCAAATTGTAGAGAGACCAGTCAACAAGTTGGTTGACTGGAGAAACTCTGGGAAAATAGTAACCCCACTAGAACAACCCATCACCAACAGTTCACTACACATCAACTTCATTTCAGCCTGACTGCACCTATGCTGCAGGTACAAGGTATGGATTCTGGAAACTGAGATCCGCCCGTATTCAGATTTTTGTTAGTAGGTTAATGTGTTATTGCCTACGGCGCTTTGGATCATGAAATTGGTATAGAAATTAATAGCCCATGAATTAGGACTCGTGGCCGTTATATAATGGTCATTCATATTCAAAAAGGTACAATTTAATGGCTAATTTTTTTAAGTACCAACATTAAAAGATTAACAGATTATCATTCCTGTCGATATGACGTATACAGTCGAGAGTATAAATATGAGAAGACTACTCTCTGTCTTCAGTACTTAACAGGAAACTTTATTACTCATAAAGTCTTATCTTTGGCTACCTTTAAGACTAGTAGGCATTCGAAATTATTCTCGACTAGAAATACACTTTAAATTATTCTCTTAACGCTATTTTCTTGATGTTATTCTATTGAATGTCAACTTTAAGAACACAACGTGAAGTCTGATATTTATATAAAGATATTTGAAAACTGTTATTCAACTTATTTACGGACGGGGACCACCAGCATTGGTTCGCAAAAAGGGGATATCGACAACACTTTGTCATACCATTTCATTCGTTAACAATACTAACCAAACTATAAGGTTAAACAAGGGTTGTTTAGTAGGAAAGGTGGAGCCTGTGGAACATGATGAGGTACATGATTTAACTCCACCCACTAAAAATATCTCATAACCTATGGCGAATTAAACGATGTAACCTGAGAAACCTACTCACCAAATGGTAGAATCGACAACCGCAAACCCAAGCACCTTAAGAAACTTTAATGGTGGATATAACTTTTTATGGTGGATGTAGTAGCTTGTAGTAGTGCATATAAACAATATAGACTTACAATCATGCCTTGTGTCATTTCTGATTATATTGAAGAATTGTTTTTTATAATGTGTATTTTTCAACTTGTATTATTAATAATTATGGTGTTAAGAATCGACAGGTGTGAGGATAGATTTAACTGTTTTCTTTTGGTACCCCAATTTCATGACCCTCTGCAAAGGGAGGAATGTAACAAAACTGAGATCCGCCCGTATTCAGATTTTTGTTAGTAGGTTAATGTGTTATTGCCTACGGCGTTTTGGATCATGAAATTGGTATAGAAATTAATAGCCCATGAATTAGGACTCGTGGTAGGACTCGTGGCCGTTATATAATGGTCATTCATATTCAAAAAGGTACAATTTAATGGCTAATTTTTTTTAAGTACCAACATTAAAAGATTAACAGATTATCATTCCTGTCGATATGACGTATACAGTCGAGAGTATAAATATGAGAAGACTACTCTCTGTCTTCAGTACTTAACAGGAAACGTTATTACTCATAAATTCTTATCTTTGGCTACCTTTAAGACTAGTAGGCATTCGAAATTATTCTCGACTAGAAATACACTTTAAATTATTCTCTTGATGCTATTCTCTTGATGTTATTCTATTGAATGTCAACTTTAAGAACACAACGTGAAGTCTGATATTTATATAAAGATATTTGAAAACTGTTATTCAACTTATTTACGGACGGGGACCACCAGCATTGGATCGCAAAAAGGGGATATCGACAACACTTTGTCATACCATTTCATTTGTTAACAATACTAACCAAACTATAAGGTTAAACAAGGGTTGTTTAGTAGGAAAGGTGGAGCCTGTGGAACATGATGAGGTACATGATTTAACTCCACCCACTAAAAATATCTCAGAGGTTTCTATTGGCAATAATAATGTGTCAAAAGTGTATACTAACAATGACGACTGTTTTAAAGATATAGATGTCCCAGACATACATAGGTCAAAGGTTATAGATATATTGACTTATTATAGAGACATATTTGCTACAAATGATATGGAATTAGGACAAACGGACACTGTTAAGATGAAAATTGACATAGGTGATCACTCACCTATAAAACTACGACCTTACCTAACACCACTAAACAAAAGGCAGATTGTTGACAAAGCTATTGATGACATGCTAGGTGCAGATATAATTGCACCTTCTACGAGTCCCTTTAGTTTTCCAATCGAAGTTGTGGATAAAAAAGATGGTTCCAAGAGATTTTGTGTAGACTATCGTGCCCTCAATAAAATCACCAAAATCAACTCATATCCACTTCCTTTGATTGATGATTTATTGGCACAATTGAATGCAATTTCCTACTATAGCCTAATTGATCTCCGTGCAGGTTACTGGCAGGTGCAGATGCATGCAGATGACAAGGAGAAAACTGCATTTGTATGTCACAGAGTGTTTCATTTCAATGTGATGCCGTTCGGTTTAGTAAATGCACCAGGTGTTTTTATGCAATTGGTTGGTCAAGTCTTACAAGGTTTAAGCGAATTTGCTGTAGCATATCTTGATGACATTTTGATATTTTCTAGAACAAAAGAAGAACATCTAAAACATTTGCAACAAGTATTTGATAGGTTAAGACAACACAATTTAAAGTTAAAAGCCAGTAAATGTTCTTTTATGACAAGGGAAACTAAGTACTTAGGTTTCACCATATCACCACAGGGTGTATCAGCTGATCCGGATAAGGTTAGAGCATTAAAGGCGATGACTCCGCCTACAACTGTCACTGAAACTCGTTCATTCATTGGTGGAATGAGTTACTATAGAAGACTCATACCTAATTTTAGTAAAATTGCTGAGCCTCTTATTAATTTGACGAAGAAATTTGCAAGGTTTAATTGGACACAGGAGTGTCAACGAGCGTTTGATTTCTTAAAAGAAAGTCTAACGACAATACCATTTTTAGGCTACCCAAATTCTAATTTACCATATGTACTTTACACTGATGCAAGCGATACTTGCATTGGTGCATGTTTAGCACAAGTTATTGAAGGTGTCGAAACACCTATTTACTTTTTGAGTCATAGATTGAATTCTACACAAGTCAAATATTCGACAGTACTAAAAGAATGTTTTGCAATTCATTACAGTTTGCAAAAACTCGACTATTATTTGCATAATGCAGAATTCATAATTAGGACAGACCATCAATCATTAAAATATTTATTAGAGTCACCCATTCAGAATAAGCAAATTCAATTATGGGCATTAGGAATTTCAGGCTATAATTTTAAGATAGAATATATACCGGGTAAGAAAAATTCAATGGCTGATCTTTTATCGCGAGTTCCAAAAGCAACATTTGACGATTTAAATGAAGATGATGACGAAATTGAGCCCCGTATAAATAATAACTCACTTGAGATAAACGCTATAAATTCAAATCAGATTGAGACTAGTAAATATGCTGACTGTGAACTTAATAACCATGACGATACATCTGACAATGAGGACTTTCAGTTAGATTTAGATATGATAGCCGAACAAATGAAGGATGATCAATTACAAAAGCTCAAAACTGATTTACAAAGGGGGACAGTGAAATCCACAATAAATAATAGATATTTACTGGTAGACGATATTGTATATTATATTTCCGATCCGGATGGTGAACCTAATTTACGACTTTATATTCCGACACACTTGACAGAAAAGGTCATCAAACAATATCATGACGATAATGGTCATAGTGGCGTAGATAGATGTTACGCACTAGTAAAGACAAAATATTACTGGCCAGGTCTTTATAAACAACTCTATAAATATATAGGACAATGTATTTTATGTCAAGCAGGGTCAACTGTTAAGAACAAACCCGATTTAGTTGAGACAGGAATACCTCCTTATCCTATGGCAAAGGTATCTTTTGATTTATCTGGTCCATATCCGACAAGTTTGTCTGGAAACAAATATATTGCCAGTTTTGTCTGCATATACTCTGGCTGGATAGAGGCATTCCCGATTCCTGATAAATCTGCACAAAATGTTGCTCATTTGTTAATTGATGAATTCTTTCCCAGATTTGGTTGTCCTTTAGCTATGGTTACTGATAACGGTACCGAGAATGAGAATAGGGTTATGAAAGAAACTTTCCAAAGTTTAAACATTAAACATATTCTTACTTCTTATTATAGACCACAAAGTAACAGTGCTGTCGAGCCAAGTCATCGAACGTTACATGATATTCTGTCTAAACGTCTAACAACGGATGTTACCACTTGGGATGTACACCTCAACCAAAGTCTTGCTGCTTTACGATTCAATGTCAACACTAGCACTAAACAATCTCCATTTACCATGTTGTATTCTAGAGATCCGGTGTTACCGCTTGATAATATTCTTAAGCCGAGACGTAAGTTCATGGGTGAAGGTGATTTCCATCAGGTGGCATTGGAGAATCAATACCGGTCATTCTTCCAAGTACATAAATACATGAAAAAAGCTAAGCAACGACAAGCCAAATACGCTAACAAGAATACTAAAAATATTGATTTTAAGACAGGTGACCCAGTATACTATAAGAATTTCTTACGTAAAAATAAACTAGAAGACAGATGGTCACCATACCATCGAATAGTTGAACAAACCTCACCAGTCTCATTCAAAATTAGGAATCAACTCACTAACAGAGTGATAAAGGCTCATGCTGAGCACTTAAGATTAGCTAATATTGATGAATGGGACATACCTAAAGACACAAATAAATTAAGAAAAGCCCAATATGTTGAACCTCCTTCAGAATCTAGTTCAGAAGGTTCCGATTCTGAGTATTCAGAAGATGACGAATTGCCTCTTAGTGAACTAATTAAGAAATACCGTAGGGTACGAGAAAACTCGTCGAGTGAAGATGACATACCACTCATGGAAATGGCGCAACGAATTAGAGTAGAAAATGACAGCGCCAATGATGCCTCATCAAATGATATGGTGGTTGCCTAGATGACTAAGTGTTGATTGGGTTTGATGGGAAAGGGCCCTTCTCAGATTACCGTTACAATCAACTACTTTTAATCGAACGCATTATACCACTTAAAAATATTCCTGATATTTTTCATTAAGAACACATAAACGAGACTATCGTGTGTTGCAAATGAACAGATCAATGATGTCCTTCTACGCGTTATTTCGCCGGTCATTATTTTGATCCATATAAGTCATAGATTTCATAGATTTTGTTTTTGTTTTGTTCTAAATAGGATTTTGTTTACAAATTTAGAATAGATTTGGATTAATTGCATTATGGTTTACGGTGTATAGATATATATATAATTATGATATTGGTCCACTATTTTTCAGATGATGTCGTGTCACATACTGGTTTTATTGGTTTTGATGGGTGGGTTTGCTGAGTCGCACAAGATAACACAGAATGTGTTATTCAGAC